TATTAATTATATTATACCAATTATACAGTTATTATACCATTTTTATTATACGGTATAATATAATTGCCCATCCCTAGGTATTAGAGATTTTTCGAAGATGCACCAATCAGATCTTTCTAACAATCGACTCTATGAAACCACCTACTGCGCACTAACAAAAAAAAATTCTCCGTAAAATTTAGTATGATAAATTGCTTTAATGATTGCCGTAACTTTGCCGTAACTATCTCTGTAACTAGTGTTTCGCATGAATCAGACTGGGCGGATATTTTTAAAGATTCGGATCCGGTCCGAAGAACGAATTGGATCCAAAACTTGGATCCGGTCCGGCACGAACCGGACCGGACGGATCTCAATACGGGTCGGAACCCGGTTTGCTCATGGATCCGGATGGGCCGGCGGGTGGACCGGATCTTTTGCAGAACACTATCGTTATCTGTAAATTATAATGAGTTATGGCATGTTTGCCATAACATTATAGTTGCAGAGATAGTTACGGCAAAGTTTACAGCAATCATTGGGATGATTCGCCTGCGCCTTTAGTCACAACTAGGGACCGATCACAATCTTTTTTTGCAAATATCCTGTGATCCAGGGATCTGAATTGAATTATTCGAGATGAATCGTATCAAAATCTTTCAATTCAGATTACTGGTTGTGTAAAAAATACGACCAATTACGGCATTGCGCTCACACGTTATTTGAGTCCCGAGTCGGATAGTCCAATCACTGTATCATTCAACATTTGACGATTCAATATTGATCTTACCAGTATTAATAAGTTCTTTTTCTAAGGCAGAACGCATTGCTTGTTATTTTGTGTATATATACCTTTTTTTTGTTGTGAATATAGAAATCATGACGCATACTTTAAAAGATAGACCGGACGTGACTTTTGGTTAGTAACTGCATAAGAAACGCGTTCACATTTTCGCGTTCACTGTGCCAGGAGGAAATTCTTTACTGAGAAGCTCGATAAAAAAATATTTTGTGCTAAAAAAAAAAAAAAAAAAATTTTTATGCCAATTGAATTATCTAGATAACAAACAAGGAGAGCAAGGATTTTGTTCTTTTATTAGAGGTCTTCCACAGGTGAAATTTAATATTCTATTGAAAATTGTTTTTTTTTTCCAGGGATACCCAGAACGCCTTAAGGCGTACTTTAAAAATTGCTTATTTAAATTAATGTATATTAATAATATTTGGTGTAGAAACCTGAAAATACCATTCGATTGTTTGAAAGGAGTGCTGGGGTTGGTTAATGGCTCTTCATAATTTATGATAAAGAATCTTCATAGTGCTTATTGACACGCGTGCTTCATCATAATATTAAGGAATATTACAGCGTCCATGGAGACGATGCATTATACATTGCACAAAATGTTTATAAAACAACTTCCGTTATTAAATATTTGGGTGGTATGCGTTTGCATTTGTGCGCAATCAGATATGACTTTTTTTTTTCTACAGACGTGTTGAATCATTTTAAATAGGAAATTTTAAGACCGGGGTCCCTAGTTGTGCATTGTCTCGTCAGAATTTAGAAACATTCTTGCGTGATGCCCTAATGAATAAACAAATGAAGGTCGAAATATGGGCTCAAGAACAAAAAAAAGCAAATTCTTGGAAAATAATTCAACAAGTACTTGTTATTTGGCGTGGTTTATTCTTGGATGTCTCATATATCATGCATTATTCATATTATAAATTACTCTAGGCATCTCCCGGAAACATACAGGATCTCGAAGATTTTCTATTTTCAAATGTTGAGATCACTACATCGCCTATGGTGCTCAGCGTTAAATTGCAGAATTCAGGTGATCAGAAAATTGTTGGAGTAGCTTTTGCAGATACTACCATTCGAGAATTGGGTGTATCAGAATTTATTGACAACGAGCTATTCTCAAATTTTGAGGTATGTATTATAAATCGTTATTGCCATTTATGATTTATATATTAGTATTGTTGACAAATGAAAATTTCAGTCCTTATTGATACAACTCGGCGTGAAGGAATGTATAATTCAGTCAGATGAAGTTCACAAAGATTATGATCTTGCAAAATTACGAGAGGTGATCGACAAATGTGATATTGTTATTACTGAACTCAAGAAAAGTAATTTTTATGTTTAAAATACATATTAAATATTTCATATTGAGGTTTTTTCTGATTATTTTACACTTTTTTGACAGGTTATTTCAATACTAAGGACATTGAACAGGATCTAAATCGTTTACTGGGAGATGAAATATCTGTGGTTTCTCTGTGTAAGTATGAATATATAAAATATGAAGTTTCAATGTTATTTATGTATATATATTTTTTAATGCACACTACAGCCGAATTTGAAATGAAACATGCGATGGCTGCTTGCGCAAGTATAATTAAATATTTGTCGGTAAGTTGTCTTATTTAACTATAAAATAGAGTTTTTATAATATTTTTTTGACTATGTATTCCTATCTTTTGGATCCAAAGCTTTTGACGGATACAAGCAATTTCGGATATTATATTTTACGACATCATGATTTATCGCAATATATGAAATTGGATGCATCTGCGTTGAGAGCGTTAAATTTGATGCCGAGTCAACATGATGGTATGGATTTATTGTCATAAATGTTTTATATGTATTAATTATCATAGAATGTCAATGGTTTTGTAGGTCCCAACAAGAATACAAGTTTATACGGTCTTTTAAATAAGTGCAAAACCTCTCAAGGATCAAGAATGTTAAGCCAATGGCTCAAACAGCCACTAATGAACATAAAAGAAATTGGTACGGTAATTTCATTTATCAATTTTCTAACTCGTAATCGGATTCAATATAATTTCCATATTTTTAGAGCAAAGACAAACTTTTGTTGAAATATTTGTGAGCGACACGGAACTCCGACAATCTTTAAGAGTATATTCAAAAGATATTTTGTAACCTTGATTATAATAAATATTAAATATCGTATAATTAAGCATGTCTCTTTACCTAATACTATCGGCTTCAGGAAGAGCACCTTAATAACTTACCTGACCTTCACCGTATAGCCAAACGTTTTCAACGAGGAAAAGCTACGTTGCAGGTTAGCGATAGTTAGTTCTTTTTGATAAACTTTTATGTAATACTTGATATAAGTGATTCCGGACTGTTCATCCATAATGCGGTCCGTACTTATTCATATATATGTATAGGATGTTATACGTGTATATCAGGCGATTAACAAATTACCTGGGCTTATAAGTGCTTTTGAATCATTTAATTCAATGGAAGACACGTTAAGAGATCTTATAGAAGAAATATTTCTTATTAAGCTAAGGGTAAATTCATTTGATATTTTGAAAGATTATATTGTCAGGTGGTTATCTTTATTAACGTGCTATTATTAGGAACACAATGACCAGCTCGAAAAGTTTAAGGAGTTGGTTGAAACAACGGTTGACTTTGAAGCAGCAGAGCATCACCATTATGTGCTCAAGGCAGATTTTAACGATGATCTAAAAGGCTAGTTGTATAAATAATAATAGTTTTGGTTCATTGTCCTATTTTTAATTATTTTAATAAATTCAATATATAGTAATCAAGGAAAGGCTTGATGAGACGATGAGTGCAATGAATCAAGAACATCAATTGGTAGGTTTTATATTATTTTAACTGATAACATTCAAAAAATATTAAGTCATACTGAAGCTTATTATCATTGAAGGTTGGAAGAAGACTCAATATTGATACAGAAAAGAAACTTCATCTTGAAAAGCAAGGAACATACGGATATTGTTTGCGAATGTCCAGACTTGTATTTTCGTTACTATTTTATTCTGATGCACATTTATTCATCCAATTGGATGAAATTTTAATCTATTTTATTTTATTGAAATAAAGGAAGCTAATTGCCTTCGTGGACAATCGGAATACATTGAACTTGCAACGCAACGAACTGGTGTATTTTTTACGACACGAAGGCTGAAGGAATTAAGTTCTAATTTTTTTAGCGAAACGGAGCACTATGAGGACGTACAAAGCTCTCTTGTAAGAGAGGTTATCAACATTTCTGGTAAATAATGATTATTATGGTTATTTGATACTTTATTGCATGACGCGTTTGTTTATGTCCAATTTAAATTAAATTCTTAGCCTCTTATTGCCCGGCATTGGAAACACTAAATGTATTATTGGCACATATTGATGTCTTGGTTACGTAAGTTTTTGAAATTAAATGGTTTTAGATATTGGTACCATTTTGCGTAAATTGATAGTACACATTTTCAATTAGTTTTGCAGATGTTTCCGTACGTGCACCTATACCTTACATTCGCCCAAAAATGAACGATAAAGGTTAGTTTTAATTAAATCAGCGATATATCGTAAGTTAGATTCTTTTGCTAACTACGTTTTCATGAATATTCTGTAAAGGTGAAGGCCATGTTGTTTTAAAAAATGCGCGCCATCCTTGCCTAGAAACTCAAGATGGTGTTTCGTTTATTCCAAATGATGTCGAATTAATTCGAGGTTAGAATAGCATTGTTATATAATTTTGTGACTCGTGAGTTATAAAGCAAAATTTTTATTGATAGGTCAAAGTGAATTGCACATTATCACGGGTCCAAACATGGGTGGCAAATCGACATATATTCGACAAGTATGTATATATATGTATATATATAATTTTTTTTTTTAAACAATGATTATCCTTTTATTACTAACACATATACTATAGATCGGTGTTATTGCTTTGATGGCGCAAGTTGGATGCTTTGTTCCATGCGCGGAAGCAAGTTTGTGCATATTCGACTGTATACTTGCCAGAGTTGGTGCTGGAGACAGCCAGCTCAGAGGTGTATCTACATTTATGTTGGAAATGTTGGAAACTGCTACAATTCTGAAGGTATTTTTGAATCTTGTCAAATTTGTCATTACACTCATGAATTTAAAATCTTTCTCACTGTTAGACTGCGACAAAAAATTCTTTGATTATTATTGATGAGCTCGGACGGGGTACAAGCACTTATGATGGATTTGGACTCGCTTGGGCCATTTCAGAGTTGGATATTTTTATTTATTTATTTATTTATTGAATCAACCTTGTATTAATAATGGTGTCATTTAAATGAATTCTAGATACATCTCGACACAGATACGCTGTTTTTGCTTGTTCGCAACACATTTTCACGAATTAACTGCGCTAAGTGATGAAGTTCCACATGTGCGTAACCTTCATGTTACGGCGCACATTGACCAGAAGGCTTGTGGAACCCGTGACATTACATTGTTATACAAAGTTACTGAAGGTAACAAATGATAGTATAAAATGATTTTAATTTTTATTCACTAAGGTTTTCAAATATATTTGAAATAGGTGTCTGTGACGAGAGCTTTGGTATTCACGTTGCTGAATTGGCCAATTTTCCAGAAATTGCTGTTAAAGTATGTCTTTCATTCCTTTTTGTTTTTTTTTTTGTTTTTTTTTTTTTTTAAAAAAAAAAAAAAAAAAGGATCTTGCATTTTTACTTATGTTCCTTTACTTTATAGCTTGCAAGAAGGAAGGCAAATGAATTAGAAGTTTTTATGCAACGTAAATCTCGGTGATTCGTAATTATTGTTATAATTGTATAAATGTATGCTGGTGTATTAATTCCATTTTCATCGTTAGATGAACAAGATCACAACGCGAAAGACAAATATTCAAAACAGGAAATTGAGGTACTTCGCTTGCAGTTGAATTTATTGGTTTTCATGTTCGTAATTCATATACTATTCTAACAATTTTTAGGAAGGAGGCACAATCATTAAGGAATTTCTTAGAGATATTGCCCAGACTCCTAATATTGAATCTATGAATTACAGTTCAATGCTAGATCGAATTCAGGAAGTGAAAAGCAAATATCAAGAAAAAATTGAAGGGAATCCATGGTGCTGCGATGTTATAACCGGATTTTAAAAAGTTTATGGTTATAATTAATGTATAATAATAATCTGCGTAACCTTCATAGTTAATGAGATTTTTGTGTAGGCATTCAATTCGTAATATTATATTAATACCATAATGCTCTTTGTGAACACTTTATACATTCTAGAGTTGTTAAAAAATTCAACAAAGCGGTCTTTGAGTCAACTCAGCGTAGACACATTTAGTCTGATCCATAACAAATTATGAGTATAGTTCTAAAGACTGCATGAATAATACTTTAATATGTAACACGGATATATGTTATTTGTTTGAACTTTTTAAGGACCAAGCGGGATCCGTCTATTTAACATTTCTAGTCATTGACTTTTAACATCCTTAATACAGTCTAACCTTAAATTAATCGCTGTATTAGTAATCAAAGTTCAATGTGAAGAGTTGTACGTTGAAAATATTTTCAGATGGCATTTTAGAACATCTAAATTCTAACGTACGTACATTGTCGCGTTATATTATCGTATTCTGATAATCTTAGATTAACATTATGAACGGAATATTCTTATAATAAAATGACTCGTTATTTAGTTTGATTTAACAATATCGATATCGAATTTTGATTTTTAAAATTTTTACATTTACACAATTCAAATTATCTAGAGATCATAATTTTAGGGAATTGATATTTCCACACCCTTTTTTGATATTGCCATACCCCTGCTAGCTCTAAACCCTAACCAACCCTAATAATTTATATTGATTTTTATTAACAGGGGTGTGGCAATATCAAAAAAGGGTGTGGAAATATCAATTTCC